CCTGTCTTGCCGCTGTGGCTCGGGCCGCCCTGGCGGCTTGGGGATGCTCGGTGTGCCCTGGGGCTGCTCTGGGTCGCGCAGGGGGTCATCAGACTGACAGTCACGAGGGCCGCAGGTGTGTTGGGCATCCGGCGGCCGGGAGAGTGCCGGGCGACGGTGGTGCTGGCCAGCAACACGTGGGATGGTTAAAAGAGGGACCTCGGAGGAGTGTGAGGTCATTGTCGAAAGGCCTCTCAGCGGCTGCTGGCTGCTGCCAACGCCAGAAGCCGTGTCACTGTAAGGTGTGCCTTGTTTTGAAAGCTGCGTTCGTTCAACTGTCAGGCACCTGGCGTTCTTCGGCGGCGTCAACGCGTTTTTAGGGATGTGGAGTAGTGGGGTTAGGAAGGGAGCTGATTTTTTTCCTCTCCCAGAGCATGGAAGTTAAAATGTTTGGGGGTGTGAGTTATTTTTTCCCCTTCATCACAGCCAGTGACCTTGAGTCCTTTGGGAGCCATTTAGGTGTTTGGAGACTTATTTGAGGACCTTGTGGGTCTGGCTCAGCAATTTTTAAGTGTAGGACGTTTTGTGTACGATAGAATTTATCCTAGATTATCTCTTGACTTGAGTATTTTCATTGCAGTCCCGACTGCTACCTAGATGTTCCTTACAACAAACAGTGGTTGAAAAACTTACCTCGAAGGTGACTATGCTGAAACTATCCCAGGGCTCTCTGTACTTGTATTGGAGGCAGTCACTGGGTTACTTCTTTCTCCAACCAAAAAACTTGGTTTCCTCTCATTCCTTCCCTCTGTCTCCTTTGATATTTCCTGTGAGAGTAACTCAAGGGGGAAGCATTCTTTTTTTTTGAGTTGGAGTCTCACTCTGTCGCCCATACTGGAGTGCAGTGACTGCTCCCGGCACCGCAGCCTCGACCTGCTGGGCTCCGGCGATCCTTCCGCCTCAGCCTTTCAAGTAACTGGAACTACAGGTGCGCGCTAGCACGCTCAGCTGGAGGAAGCATTCTTAAAGGCAGACACCCTTTTTTTCTTTTTTTGAGTCAGAGTCTCACTCTGTCTTCCAGGCTGGAGTGCAGTGGCAAACTCTGCCACTGCAGCCTCAACCTGCTGGGCTCAGGGGATCCTTCTGCCTCAGCCTTCCAAGTAACTGGAACCACAGGCACGCGCTGCCATGTCCAACTAATTTTTTTGATTTATTGTAGAGATGAGGTCTGACCAAGTTCTCCAGGCTGGTCTCGAACCCCTGGGCTCAGGCAGTCTTACCTCCACCTCCCAAGGTGCCAATATTATAGGCATGAGCCACATGCCCAGCCAGGAAGACACTCTATGTAAATATTTTATTCTTGAGAATGTTAGAGTTGACCATATCGTTAAAGTTTCACATGACTGGGCTCAGTGGCTCAGCCTGTAATCCCAGCGCTTTGGGAGGCAGAGGCAAATGGATTGCCTGAGCCCGTGGGTTTGAGACCAGCCCGGGCAAGTTGGCAAGATCTTGTCTCCACAATAAAATAAAAAATAGCCGGGTGTGGTAATGCACGTCTGTAGTTCCGGCTACTCGGAAGGCTGAGGTCGAAGGATCGTTGGAGCCCAGAAGGTTGATGCTGGGGCGGCCGTGAGCATACATGCCACAGCACTCCAGCCTGGGCAAAGGATTGAGACTCCAACTAAAAAAAAAAAAGTCTCACACATTTTTGAAACCAAGAAGGGTAAATTTTTTAAAAATGCATTTATGCTAGTGATTTTGAGTGAGATGGTCTTTTTTAAATTTCTCTGCTCCAAACTGGGGAGTTACATACTGGAGCAGCCTCTGTTGAGGCTCACTGTGAGACTGATGGCCCTGTCTCGTTCAATCTCCCTCTGCACCCTTCGCGGTGCCCTCTGGCTGCCGCTTCTCCTACTGGAGCACCGGCCTTTTACCTTGTGATGGAGGGAACTGAAGTGGCCAAATAGCTCGCTTGCATTGATGAAGGGGTAGGAGGTTTTTTATTAGGTGATGCCTGGAGCATTGCATTTAACAAGTTTCAGTTCCTTTATTAGCAGCAGTTTAGGATTCAAGAAGGAAAATAAAGCTTTGAAGAAGATGTTTTCAGAATAACTGCTTTTGCTTCATTCTCACTAGCCTACAGTATTTTACTTTAATTTTTTTTTAGGACAGAACGAGGAAGGAGCCGGTAGAATGGGCATGTTATCCAGTTAGAATTAGTCAGCCCAGCGCTGCCCCCAGTCCAGTGGAATATGTGCTACTTTGCTCCAAGTAACTAGTTTCCACTGTTGTTAAGGTGGCATCTTGCCAGAGAACTAAGTTCACTTCCTTTGAAAAGCTTTTTGAAAAGAAGTCAGAGCCCCTGCTTTTAAAAACTGTCACATTTCTACTGCTTCTTGAACAGTCATTGGAAGGTATAATAGCAAACAAGTTAATGTTATCACTAATTAATGATATTGAGCAAGGATTTTATTAGGTATAACAGGCTTACAAATAGGGGAAAATTAATTTTAGATTCTGGGAAATAAAAACTCACCAAAACAACTCAGTCTTTTAAAAAAAAATTTTTAAAAAAGACAATTTCTTAGCTGGGCTCTGTGGCTCAGCCTGTAATCTGCGCCTTTGGGAGGCTGAGGTGAGTGGATTGCCTGAGCCCGCGGGTTCGAGACCTCATCTCTACAATAAATCAAAAATTAGCCGAGCGTGGTAGCGCATGCCTATTGTTCCAGCTCCTTGGAAGGCTGAGGTGGAAGGATCGCCGAAGCCCAGCGGGTGGAGGCTGCAGGGGCCGGGAGCAGCCACTGCACTCCAGTCTGGGCGACAGAGTGAGACTCCAACTCAAAAAGAAAAAAAAAAAAAAAGACAATTTCTTGTGTTCTTTGCACAGGGGAAAACACTCCTGTATTAACCTGTAATAGTTATAGTTTTATTTTTATTTATTTATTTATTGACTTGAAGTCTCACTCTGTCACCCAGCCTGGAGTGCAGTGGCACGCTCACAGCCACCGCAGCCTCAACCTGCTGGGCTCAGGTGATCCTCCTGCCTCAGCCTTCCAAGCAGCTGGATTTACAGGCATGCACCACCATGCCCAGCTAATAGTCATAGTTTTTTTTTGAGTTGTAGTCTCACTCTGTCCCTCAGACAGGAGTGCAGTGGCAAGCTCCCGGCCACCGCAGCCTCCACCTGCTGGGCTCCAGCGATCTTTCTGCCTCAGCTTTCCAAGTAGCTGGAACTACAGGCATGCACTACCATGCCCGGCTAGTTTTTGATTTATTGTAGAGACGAGGTCTTGCCAAGTTGCCCTGGCGGGTCTTGAACCCGCGGGCTCAGGCAATCCACTCGCCTCGGCCTCCCAAAGTGCTGGGATTACAGGCTGAGCCACAGAGCCCGGCCATAGTCATAGTTTTAATACAGAGTGTTGCCCTTTAAGATGAGAAGGGAAGGAAAGGTCACCCTCAAACCAACACATAGAAATAAGCACTTTAGGAGAGGTTCTCTACATGCAAATGTGTACTAGGTATATAATTTTGTTTATTTGTTTTTGACTTATTGTAGACATGAGGTCTCGCCAAGTTGCCCAGGCTGGTCTCGAAGCCTTGGACTCAGGCAATCCTCTTGCCTCCACCTCTCGAAGTGCTGAGATTATAGACGTGAGCCACCGCTCTTGGCTTATATTTTTTAAATCGGTTCTTGGCCGAACACTTAATTACTTGGCACCCTCTTCAATCTTGAGGAGGCGGAGCCACCCTTTTCCTCTAATTCACCTTCTAAATAAACTTTTTCTAACCTAAAATAAAATAAAATAAAATCTGCTTATGTTCTTTAAATTATACTTAGTAATCAGTAATATACTTAGTTGTAAGAGCATTGTGGTGGTGTATTCTCTGAGTATGCCATTGGTTGACCATGTCATGCAGTGCCTAGGTTGTGAGGAGATAGCAGTAAAAAAGGCAAACACAACTTCTAAGCCCAGTGACTGGGGTTCAGAGAATGTTAGAGTTGTTCACGGTGGGGCTATCGGGCTGTCTACTTGCTCTGATTACATAGTATATTTCTAATCTCTTGTCATTGCTGATTTTTTGCCATTATATAAAGCCAGATATCCTTTTTTTTTTTTTT